TAATAGTGTAATATAATGAATGTGTTAATAATGAAATTATTGATAAGTTAGTTATTATGTGACAAAGCATAAATTAAAACCATTTAAGACATTTGCATGTTTTCTGAGTTTCCACCTGTGATTCGAACTCACGACTCTTGATATACCGTCTCGAAAATATACGATACATTTATTTATATTATTTACATAGTTTTGTTATTAATTTTACCGCAGTATCGAGTGGAAAATATAGAAACTTCATTTAAGCTATAGAAACATGCCCATAATGAAAATAGCAGAAAATACCTTTACTGATGACTTGGTAATGTATGCAAGATATGAAAATGATATACAAATAAATTAAAGCATTTGGGAAGCAGATTTAAAAGAGAAAAATATGAAAATTGATTTCGGTAAAGAAACAAAGAAACATTCAAATATTTGGGAATAAATATACACAAAGATAGAAGAGAAGATGTTGAGATTACATTATTCGCTAAGCAACGCGGTGAGAAGTAATAAGAAAATTTCAAAAAGACTCCAAAATACCAGTATTTAATAAAGTATTCAAAAGCATAAAGTTGTGAAAGTTGGATCTTATATAGGAAATGATGGAGATGAGGTACTCAAGAATGGTTATAGAGTTCCACGAAGATAATTAGAGAAGAGTTAAGAATAGATCTGAATATAGAAAGCATAGAAAGGAAAAAACTGAAACGTTTTGAACATGCAATGCATATGGAAGAAGAGATATAGAAAGCATGACTCACGAAGAGCAAAAGAATCATGGAATAGTACATTAAAGGATTATTTGACGAAGAGCACGTCGCAATCTATTATATAATACATTCCAAATTGTATAATAGATTGCGACGTGCTCTTTAAGCACGTCGTTAACAATAAATTGTATTCAGATATTGATGTTAACGACGTGTTCGAAGGGCACGTCGCAATCTATTATATAATATGTTTTAAATTGTATAATAGATTGCGACGTGCTCTTCGAGCACGTCGTTAACAATAGATTGTATTCAGATATTGTTGTTAACGACGTGCTCTTCGAGCATGTCGCAATCTAATATATAATTGTATTCAAAACCATTTTAACATAAGTTGTGAAAGTTGGATCTTAAATAAAAAACGATGAAGATGAGGTGCTCAAGAATGGTTATAGAGTTCCACGAAGAGTTAGAAAAAGACATGAGATAATTAGAGAAGACCAAAGAGTAGAGCTGATCATAGAAAGCCTAGAAAGGAAAAACTGAAACGATTTGAACAGGTAATGCATATGGAAAAAGAGACATATAGAAAAAGCATGGCTCACAAGATCACTGCAAAAACGAAATAGAATGAAGAGCAAAAGAATCATGGAATAGTACATTAGATGATTATTTGACGAAGAACACGTCACAATTTATAATACAATCTGTTCTAAATTGTATAACAATAAACTGTATTCAAATATTGTTGTTAAACGACGTGCTCTTCAAGCACGTCGCAATCTATTATATAATCTATTCCAAATTATATACTAAATTTTAATTTGTTCCAAATTGTATAATAAAGATTAATAATAGAATTGAGAATACAACAAAATTATATTATTTGTTGTGAAAGTTGGATCTTAAATAGAAACCGATAGAGATGAGGTGCTCAAGAATGATTATAGAGTTTCACGAAGAGTTAGAAAAAGAAATGAGTTAATTAGAGTAGAGCTGATTATAGAAATAATAGAAAGAAAGATATTGAAACGTTTTGAACATGCAATGCATATGGAAGAAGAGAGACAGATAGCAAAAGCATTGCTCACAAGATCACTGCAAAAATGAAATAGATGAGGAGCAAAAAATCTTGGGATAATACATTAGATGATTATTTGAAGCAAAAATAATGTTAAAAATTAAGAAAGAATGTACAAAATTTCAGATACAATAAAAATGATACATTTACACCTTCAAGGTATTTAAGATTTATCAACAATAAAACATATGTACAGTAATAACAGTTTTGATGATAATTTTTTTAAGTTGATAGTAGAAATAGAAGTCTGGAGCTTAGATAACACAATACAAAACGGATCAAAGAAGTTGTCTGTATTAAAAACTGTTTTTTTTTTTTTTTTTGTAAAAATATGGACATACTTTTTGTAGTGGTGTCTTTAATTAGGATATGAAGTTAATGAGTATTAATGGTGCAATGTAATGAAATATGAATTAGTTAATGAAGTAATTAAATCAGTATTAGTAGTGTAATGAAATAAAATATGAATGATTAGCGCTCTTTTGACTAGGTGTGACTCGAATCCACGACCCTTAATTTACAGCTCAGTTATGATATATTTATTTAAATTATTGACACAATTACATCTACAATTACATTAGTTAGGATTGTCTGATTTACGAGAGGGAAAAGCGTTGCTACTACGACAAGGGGGAGGGAGGATAAAATGATTTTTTTAGATATAACTCAAAAAAAACCTTTTAAAAGCAGAAATTGTTAAAAATTTAGATAACAGAATGGGATGAGAAGAGAAACATTTCATATTATACAAAACCCAATCGAAAAACTTATAGTTTAGGAGCCCATTGTTCTTCGAGCATGTCGCAATCTATTATACAGTGTGTCCTAAAAAAGTTATACACGTGAGAAAATACCCAAGAAAATGAGACAAGTCTAAGGCAAATTACGTGTCATTGAACACCAGTTACGTAGTTTAATCAAAAGGTTACTTGTGTTAACTTTTTCTCAGAATTAAAGTTATAGTTTCTTAAAATATATATTTTAAGCTTAGATTAAAGAGACCGAAGATGTAACATTGCACACTGCGCATGTTGTCTATTTTAAGCCAAAGTAACCCACCAATTGAAAATCATTGTTGCACGACGTCACTCGAATTGCTCCGATTTCCATTCAGCGATCACACCTCCACCTGAGTTTAATCACCATTGACAGCTGTTTTTTGATTTATTTGTTGGTATTTTAGCAATTTAAAGTGTTCTAGTTATTCAATTTCAAGTTCAAAATGTCACGATGTATCTTGAAAAATTGTATGTACTTATAATCCAAGTACTACTGTTATGAATATATTCGTTTTCAGCGGTAAATATTTATTAACGTTTTGACATAAAGCGCCAAGATTCTCTTGGCTGAATACTTCAGATCCGCATTAAGGGGTTTCAATAAATATTAAGCATCACAAACTCAGATTTCATATTACTTACATAAATTTACAAAAGGGTAAAATTTTGAACATTTAATTTAAATAAATAGTAAATAGGCATTATTGCTAACGAAATTTTGTATTTAAAAAGTAGTTTTATAAGAATGTTTTCTAAAGGTAGTTTTTAGCCCTTTTTGGTAGATAAATAAGAGGTAAAGAATCATAGTTGCTAGCTAAATTTTATTTTTATAAGGTATTTTTATAAGAATATTAGATGAAATACAGGATGACCTACTTAAAATTTCAAGGTTCATCTTATTTGCGGTCAAATCGAAAGTGACATTGAATTTTCAGTCTTAAAACAAAGTAATCTAGTATAAGCAAAAAAAAATACTAAAGTTACAGGAGTTAGGTCCGATTCCACCGTTGTGTTAAACGGAGATTAAAATGACAGTGTTAATGTAAAAATGTCATTTTAAACTTCGTTTAACACAACGGTGGAATCGACCCTTAGTCACGTTAATAAAATGTTACATTACAAACCCCTAAACAACTCGAACATAATTTTCGTTTACTAAAAAAAAATCCAAAATTTAGCAATATTTATTTATTATACAATCGAATGCGATTTCAAAGATAACTGGATCAAACAATCCGAATCTCTAAATTTTGGAGCTAAATGCTCAGATAAAAGCAAGCGACCGATAGGGGTTACAAAAATAATCGATTTATCGATAATTCTGATATTTTTTAATGAAAATCGATTTATCCGCTGTTTTTAATAAATTATTTTCGTTTTTTTTTTAAGATAATGTTTAATCGGTTTTTTAATTATTTGATTATTTTCGATTTTTCAAAGATATTATATGAAAATAATCGATATTTTGGTTATTTTTTTAAAATTATCGATTTATTGGATAATCAGCTTTTTAATAATCAATTATTTTCGATAATCGAATAATCAATTTCAAAGGAAATATGAAATAAGGATTATTAGAAAATAATAGATAATTCGTTTTATTTTTTGGAAAATCGATTTATCATAGAATCGGCTTCTTAATTAATTGGTTATTTTCGATTAGGCGATTATTTTGGAATTATTGATTATTTTTGATATTTCAAAGATAATCGAATTATCGATTTTAAAAGAAATACAATAAAAATAGATTATTGATAATAATCGATTGATCGAAAATAATCGATTATTTAAAATAATCGATCATTCTGTTTTTTTTTTTGAAAATCGATTTGTCAGTTAATCGACTTTTTAATTAATCGAATATTTTTGAAATACAATAAAATAGATTATTGGTAATAATCGATATATCATAGAATCGGCTTCATAATTAATTGATTATTTTCGATTAGGCGATTATTTTCGGTATTTCAAAGATAATGGAATTAACGATTTTAAAGGAAATACAATAAAAATAGATTATTGATAATAATCGATTGATCGAAAATAATTAATTATTTAAAATAATCGATTATTTTGTTTTTTTTTAATCGATTTATCAGTTAATCGACTTTTTAATTAATTGATTATTTTTGATTAATCGATTATTTTCGATTTTTCAAAGATTATCGAATAATCTGTTTCCATGGACGAAAAAAAAATGGTTTATTTGAAAATAATCGATTATTTAAAATAAACGATAATTCTATTTATATTATATTTTGTAAACACTGATTTATCGGTTAATTGGCTTTTTAATTAAACGATTATTTTTGATTTTTCAAAGATAATCAAGTAGTCGATTTTAAAGGAAATGACAAAAAATATATCGTTTGAAAATAATCTATTGATCGAAAATAATCGATTATTTTCAATTATCGATAATTTATTTCGATAATCACTCATCCCTAGCGACCAAATGACTTTTAATAGATTTAAATTTTAAAATGTTATCTGATTTCAGACATATGCATTTCTAGAGTTTTATGTGACTCGTCCTTTATAATAATTAATATTCTTAAAGAAAGAAACCTTAATATACTTTTTCTGAGGTTACAATACAAAACAGCATTTTCTCATTTTGACTAATTTTTAATAATATGTAATAGCCGTAGAAAAAATATAATGTTCAACTCATAAGGGTAGATTTGCAGTATTAGCCTGCGCACATGCTATTTTTATAATACTCGTAGACAATGAGTAACATTTTTTGCTCTATTAACAATATATTCTATTTCAACATTTTACTGTAATCTCTTGCAGAAAAGTCCGTAGTAAATAAACGCTAACGAAATATTCTATAAAAGGTCTTCTCTTTACATAAAATGTCGTGGCATCTGTTTGATATTAAAAAATCACGATAATTTGATTTCATAATACAAAATTCGATTAAACACCTTTTAAATAAACCTAATAGTTCATTAAAATGCTAATAAACAAAGTCCGGTCCCTGTCACAGAGTTCGGGTCGCCGCGTGTCGCCGCCCAGTTCCCCCACTCCGTTAACCCTTCTTTAGAAACTGGCAACATTTGCGCAGGTTTAAAACCGGTGTATGTTATATCTCTGGTCTCTTTTATCTAAGATTTTAAGTTAGAATGGAGGTTTTGAATATTTTTATATCGAATATTGAATGAACTAAAATTTAAATTATATCAAAATGTATGATAATTTTTTAAATGATTTTTATGATACAACTCTTATACATATTAAGGCACTGATTATTAACAATTGACATTCTGGAGTTAACTGCATTGGAAATTAAAAATACATGGCGATAATTTAAAAACTTACAATGGTTACAGATAATATCAGTACAGTATTTTGTACTGTTGTACTAAAAATATGCAATTTTCTTTTTAAATATGTTTGTAAAGATCATATACTAACTTATACAGTTGAAAATCAATTTTACTAACTTTTTAATGATTTATGCACTTGCTATTTCTTTTTATTATTGTAGGTAGCACATAGAAGGTTGATGGGATTTCTGTATGTCATTTTTAACACTACCTGACGTCATTTTTAGTTTCTAAAACAAATCCTTATAACTCTTTCAGTTCTCTTCTATGAGCTTCTCTCAATCAATATTACAATTATTCACTAATTCTTCGTGATAACATTTACTTTATACTTTTCTTCATCTTCTTTGGGTCTGACGTATACCGGATAAGACCTCTTCTGCAGGTTAGATTCTGAAGGTGCTTCTGTTGTAGTGGTTTTCTTCCTACTGTCCATGAATCGTTTGACCGCGTAATCCCGGATACTTCGAAAAGCTGGACGGGAGCTTTGAACCAGATTATTTACAGCTGTCAACGTCTGTATGGGGATCTGAAAAATAATTGAAGATGTTTTTATTATGGTTTATAGTGCTTCGATATTGAAAGAATTGATCACAATTTATTAAATAGGTTTTCGGTGATTAAATTTATTTGAGAGCTTGAGTACCGCGATCAAAATTCTTGAGTAATTCCGTTAATAATAAAACAGTATTAATAAGATTCTTGTGCATTTCAGTTAACAGATATGCTTAATGTATTCGAGATAACCATCATCTTGGTTTTTAGTGCAATAAATAAATTTTTCTGTAGCAAAGAGCTTTAAATTTAAAGTTGACTAGCAAAGATTCAAATTTGGACGTTGCTAAAATGGTTTGATTCCTTGCTATTCCATTTATTGTGATCCTTCTATAACCTCATTAGTATTTTTCATGTAATAATAAATAAAATTTTATTCCTTTCCATCTGGATCTCTACATATAGATTTTAAAAATTACCCTTGTCTCCTTCTAAGAGAAATAGTTAATAGTTAAGGCTCATTTTTTAAAAAGAATTGAAGATAGAGAGGAGAACAATAAATTGTATTCAAACATTGTTGTTAACGACGTGCTTGAAAAGCACGTCGCAATCTATTATACAATCCGTTCCAAATTGTATAATAGATTGCGACCGTTAACAATAAATTGTATTCAGATGTTGGTAACAACGTGCTCGAAGAGCACATCGCAATCTATTATACACTTTTTTCCAAATTGTATAATAGCACGTCGTTAACAACAATATCTTTCTGAAACACACTGTGTAATAAAATGCAAAGTGCACGTCGTTAACAACAAATTGTATTGTGCTTTTCGTGCACATCACAATCTATTATATAGTGTATCCCATACAGCTAAGAGTAGAGCTGATCATAGACAGCATAGAAAGGAATAACTGAAACGTTTTGAACATGAAGAGAGATAGAAAAAGCATGGCTCACAAGATTACTGCAAAAATGAAATAGATGAAGAGCAAAAGAGTCATGGAATAATATATTAAATTATATTATCTCTTCGAGTACGTCGTTAATAAATTGTATTCAGATATTGTTGTTAACGACGTGCATAATCCATTCCAAATTGTATAATAGATTGCGACGTATTCTTTGAGCACGTCGTTAACAATTAACTGTAATCGGATATTGTTGTTAACGACGTGCTCGAAGAGCACGTCGTTAATTATAAATGGTATTCAGATATTGTTAACGACGTGCTTGAAGCGCACGTCGCAATCTATTATATAATCCTTTCCAAATTGTATAATAATAATTAACAATTAATTGTATTCAGATATTGTTGTTAACGACGTGCTCGAAGAGCACGTCGCAATCTATTATATAATGCTTTCCAAATTGTATAATAGATTGCGACGTGCTCTCCGAGCACGTCGTTAACAATTAATTGTATTCAGATATTGTTGTTAACGACGTGCTCGAAGAGCACGTCGCAATCTATTATATAATCCTTTCCAAATTGTATAATAGATTACGACGTATTCTTTGAGCACGTCGTTAACAATTAATTGTATTCGGATATTGTTGTTAACGACGTGCTCGAAGAGCACGTCGCAATCTATTACATAGTCTGTTCCAAAATGTATACAAGACTGCAACGTACTCTTCGAGCACGTCCTTAACTAATTATATTCAGATATTATGTTAACGACGTACTCGCAAAGAACGTCGCAATCTAATATACAATCTGTTCCAAATTATATAATAGATTGCGAAGTGCTTTTCGAGCACATCGTTAACAATAAATTGTATTCAGATATTGTTGTTAACGACGTGCTCGAAGAGCACGTCGCAATCTATTATATAATCCTTTCCAAATTGTATAATAGATTACGACGTATTCTTTGAGCACGTCGTTAACAATTAATTGTATTCGGATATTGTTGTTAACGACGTGCTCGAAGAGCACGTCGCAATCTATTACATAGTCTGTTCCAAAATGTATACAAGACTGCAACGTACTCTTCGAGCACGTCCTTAACTAATTATATTCAGATATTATGTTAACGACGTACTCGCAAAGAACGTCGCAATCTAATATACAATCTGTTCCAAATTATATAATAGATTGCGAAGTGCTTTTCGAGCACATCGTTAACAATAAATTGTATTCAGATATTGTTGTTAACGACGTGCTCGAAGAGCACGTCGCAATCTATTATATAATCCTTTCCAAATTGTATAATAGATTACGACGTATTCTTTGAGCACGTCGTTAACAATTAATTGTATTCGGATATTGTTGTTAACGACGTGCTCGAAGAGCACGTCGCAATCTATTACATAGTCTGTTCCAAAATGTATACAAGACTGCAACGTACTCTTCGAGCACGTCCTTAACTAATTATATTCAGATATTATGTTAACGACGTACTCGCAAAGAACGTCGCAATCTAATATACAATCTGTTCCAAATTATATAATAGATTGCGAAGTGCTTTTCGAGCACATCGTTAACAATAAATTGTATTCAGATATTGTTGTTAACGACGTGCTCGAAGAGCACGTCGCAATCTATTATATAATCCTTTCCAAATTGTATAATAGATTACGACGTATTCTTTGAGCACGTCGTTAACAATTAATTGTATTCGGATATTGTTGTTAACGACGTGCTCGAAGAGCACGTCGCAATCTATTACATAGTCTGTTCCAAAATGTATACAAGACTGCAACGTACTCTTCGAGCACGTCCTTAACTAATTATATTCAGATATTATGTTAACGACGTACTCGCAAAGAACGTCGCAATCTAATATACAATCTGTTCCAAATTATATAATAGATTGCGAAGTGCTTTTCGAGCACATCGTTAACAATAAATTGTATTCAGATATTGTTGTTAACGACGTGCTCGAAGAGCACGTCGCAATCTATTATATAATCCTTTCCAAATTGTATAATAGATTACGACGTATTCTTTGAGCACGTCGTTAACAATTAATTGTATTCGGATATTGTTGTTAACGACGTGCTCGAAGAGCACGTCGCAATCTATTACATAGTCTGTTCCAAAATGTATACAAGACTGCAACGTACTCTTCGAGCACGTCCTTAACTAATTATATTCAGATATTATGTTAACGACGTACTCGCAAAGAACGTCGCAATCTAATATACAATCTGTTCCAAATTATATAATAGATTGCGAAGTGCTTTTCGAGCACGTCGTTAACAATAAATTGTATTCAGATATTGTTGTTAACGACGTGCTTGAAGAGCACGACGCAATATATTATATAATCCTTTGCAAATTGTATAATAGATTGCGACGTGCTCTTCGAGCACGTCGTTAACAATTAATTGTATTTAGATTATATTGTTCACGACGTGTTCTTCGAGCACGTCGCAATCTATTATATAGTGTATCCCACAGAGCTAAGAGTAGAGCTGATCATAGACAGCATAGAAAGGAAAAAACTGAAACGTTTTGAACATGCAATGCATATGAAAGAAAAAGACAAATAGAAAATGCATGACTCACAAGATTACTGCAAAAATGAAATAGATGAAGAGCAAAAGAGTCATGTAATAATATATTAAATTATATATAAATTATATAATCTGTTCCAAATTGTATAATAGATTGCGACGTCCTCTTCGAGCACGTCGTTAACAATAAATTGTATTCAGATATTGTTGTTAACGACGTGCTCGAAGAGCACGTCGCAATCTATTATATAATCCTTTCCAAATTGTATAATAGATTGCGACGTACTCTTTGAGCACGTCGTTAACAATTAATTATATTTAGATATTGTTGTTAACGACGTACTTGAAGCGCACGTCGCAATCTAATATATAATCCTTTCCAAATTGTATATTAGATTGCGACGTGCTCTTCGATCACGTCGTTAACAATGAATTGTATTTAGGTGTTGTTGTTAACGACGTGCTCTACGTCGCAATCTATTACATAGTCTGTTCCAAAATGTATACAAGATTGCAACGTACTCTTCGAGCACGTCGTTAACTATAAATTGTATTCAGATATTGTTGTTAACGACGTGCTCGAAGAGCACGTCGTAACCTATTATGTAATCCTTTCCAAATTGTATAATAGATTGCGAACGTGCTTTTCGAGCACGTCATTTACAATAACTTGTATGCAGATACTGTTGTTGCACAACAGCATATCGCAGTTCATTAAACAATCTTTTATCTTGTCCCCTTTTAAGAAAAATGGTTAATAATTAAGGCTCATTTTTTAAAAAGCGTTAAAGATAAAGAGGAGCAGGTATCTTAAATCGATCTTAAATCGCTTTTAAATCGATTATTTTTAAATCGATTACTGCATTCTTCTGCCAAATTTCATACAGATCTGATCTCATCCCAATCCTGTTTCGATACAAAATCTTTGAAGAGCACGTCGCAATCTATTATCTACTATAAAATCCTTTCCAAATTGTATAATAGATTGCGACGTGCTCTTTGAGCACGTCGTTAACAATAAATTGGATGCAGAGATGGTTGTTAACGACGTGCTCGAAGAGCACGTCGTAATCCATTACAAAATCTGTTCCAAATTGTATAATAGATTGCGAACGTGCTCTTCGAGCACGTCGTTAACAATAAATTGTATGCAGATACTGTTGTTAACGACGTGCTCTTCGAGTACGTCGCAATATAATATACAATCTATTATATAATCTTTTCCAAATTGTATAATAGATTGCAACGTGCTCTTCGAGCACGTCGTTAACAATTAATTGTATTTAGATTATATTGTTCACGACGTGTTCTTCGAGCACGTCGCAATCTATTATATAGTGTATCCCACAGAGCTAAGAGTAGAGCTGATCATAGACAGCTTAGAAAGGAAAAAACTGAAACGTTTTGAACATGCAATGCATATGAAAGAAAAAAGACAAATAGAAAATGCATGACTCACAAGATTACTGCAAAAATGAAATAGATGAAGAGCAAAAGAGTCATGTAATAATATATTAAATTATATATAAATTATATAATCTGTTCCAAATTGTATAATAGATTGCGACGTCCTCTTCGAGCACGTCGTTACCAATAAATTGTATTCAGAAATTGTTGCTAACGACGTGCTCGAAGAGCACGTCGCAATCTAATATACAATGTATAATCCTTTCCAAATTGTATAATAGATGGCGACGTACTCCTTGAGCACGTCGTTAACAATGAATTGTATTTAGATATTGTTGTTAACGACGTGCTTGAAGCGTATGTCGCAATCTATTATATAATCCTTTCTAAATTGTACATTAGATTGCGACGTGCTCTTCGAGCACGTCGTTAACAATTAATTGTATTCGGATATTGTTGTTAACGACGTGCTCGAAGAGCACATCGCAATATATTACATAGTCTGTTCCAAAATGTATACAAGACTGCAAGGTACTCTTCGAGCACGTCCTTAACTAATTATATTCAGATATTATGTTAACGACGTACTCGAAAAGAACGTCGCAATCTAATATACAACCCGTTCCAAATTATATAATAGATTGCGACGTGCTCTTCGAGCACGTCGTTAACAATAAATTGTATGCAGGTATTGTTGTTGTACAAGAGCACGTCGCAGTCTATTAAACAATCTGTTATCTTGTCCCCTTCTAAGAAAAATAGTTAATAATTAAGACTTATTTTTCGAAAAGCTTTGAAGATAAAGAAAAGCAGGTATCTTAAATCGATCTTAAATCGCTTTTAAATCGATTGTTTTTAAATCGATTACTGTATCTTTCTGACAAATTTCATACAGATATCATCTCATCTCATCGCAATCCTGTGTTCCTGATACACAATCTTTACTAAATTTGGTAATAGTCTGTAAAAAGGTTATGAAATTCAAGTCCCAAAATGTTATTTCGACTTCGATTTGTATATATAATAATCCTCATATTATATTGGTTGGATATTATTTACACCATTTATGAAAAACATTTTGGGAAAAAAAGTATAAACAGTTATTAATAGAAAGAAAATTACAAATCTAGTAATACTGTTTAGTCTAAAATGAATATTGCATCTTCTACTAAATTCTGCTACATGCAATGATTGTAATCTAAATTACCAAAGCCTAAATGAAGTTTTTGATACAATTAAACCATGAAAATGAGATAAATGAAGGCAAATGAATTGTTTCCAAGCCAACAAACTTACTTTTTGCCTACATAATCGCTGTAATAACATTAGATCGATCTATCCTGAAGAAGTATTCCCCTTGGCCGTATTGTTTCTGTAGATAAAATGTTCTATTAATAAAATAAATTTCTATAGAAATACGATGTATCATTTATATAGATGCTTATGCTGTTTTCAATAATATTAAGAAAGTTCGATCACAAGAAAGATGTCATAAATTTAAACAATTATGTTGTTAATTAAGTAACATTTCGTAAAGTACTCACATTAAATAGGCTATCGATTAATTTTGATCTGTCTGAGGTCTCTCTCTTTCCTCTATTTTCAGGTCCTACCGATAGTTGAAAACTGTAATCATTTCCCTGAAAAAAAGAAGAAGAAACAACTTTTAATAATAAAATGAGGACTTAACAGTAGTATACTTAGAAAATAGACTTCAGCTAAACAAACAGTTAAAAATTACTTAAATTATTTAAATTTTTGACCCATGCAATAATCAGTATCTCCATCTGAAGCTACCTAAACCTATTTGTCCGCCGTATTTAAAGAAAAATTCCCTCCAGAAGTAGGCATATTTTCTCTGTGACTAAAAACTTTTTGAAATTTTGAAATATTCAAGGAGGAAATTGTAAAAATATTGACAAGGTAAATAATGCATTTGAGTATTCTACCCTGATTAGCTAAAACGTCCTATCTGACATTGGGAAAATTTTGATATATTAATGATTTTGTTTTCATATTATCCACTATGTAAATTTTAGGACAAAGCTGAATGTAAGAAACAAGTGCTATTTAAGACAACTCTGGATTAAAGCCTACACTAAAGCTACTTCATATAACAATAATAATAAGGTTTACTCCTATTTATAAACTAAAAAAATGATTATTAAGCAAAGATAATCTAATTATAACATCATTTTTTCTAAGGATGGACGTTCTTTTCATTCAAACTGCTGTGTATCTTCATGTTTGCGTGCCAAAATAGGGTAATAAAGGTGTATACATTTGTTGGTTTTGGATAATTGGAACTAAATGATAAAATTCAAAGGTATTACTTTCAAAAATAGGAAAATGTATTGCAAAAATTAACTTAGATTCTGAAATTGATACGTGCGTTCCTAAGAACTGATAATACGTTAATAAATTTGTAAATTTCGGAATTTGATCAACATTTTATGTAAATATTTTATCATGTTTTTTATGTCTGATCTGGAAACTAAAGAAATATGTAAAGTATTTAATTTTGCAAAGGTTATGGCATTTTCTAAATTATCTATGAAAGAAATTGCCATTTGATAATCTAAATCAATTTATGATAAAATGGCCTGAAAACTAATATAACTTTCAAGTGTATCGATTCTATTATAAATAGCTGCTTGAATTTTTTCCATATCGACTATCCGTCCATAGAATAATTTAATAAATACATACATATTTTTATTTTAATACAATTAAAATTAAAAGTATATTTTGTTACTTTTTTCTTAAAGTTTAAAAAACATTTCAATTTTATTCTTTTTGTTTTAAAGTTTGAAAAACTTTTAAATTTATTGATTTAGTTTCAAAATTGTTGAATTCCAATATATTTTTATTTAATGCCTAAATTAATTTCTTCCGTTGCATCATTTTTTAAAATTTCACAAGAAAGTATTGTTTCTTTGACCTATTAACTTTTGTTGGGTCAAATTTACAATCGTTTAAACCTAATACGCCATCAAAAAATGTATGACAATCGTACAGAATAAAATCTATGTATTTAATATTAGAATTAAACTCTGCAAACGCGGGCACTAAAGCTTGATAATTAATCTGTTGACTTCCCATATTTGTGGATAAGATAAGTTCTGAATGGTAAATTGTTGGAAAAAAAATGTATTTACTACTGAAGGTTTTATTATTGACCTATAAGTTCCTGTATCAATTAATAAATAATTGTTTGAAATATTGTGCAATTCCACTATCTTTTTATTTTTAATAAGGCCGGGGTATCTAATAATTTTGTTCAAAGTCAACCTTTTTAAATTGATTAATTTTTAAATTTGATTAGGATTTTCAAAATTACCATGATGATAATCCTCATTGTTGTTATTTAAATTGGTATCATTGCAAAAATTAGAATGTAATGCTTCAAAAGTAAAATTCGGTCTTGAATTATAATTTTGGAAATTTTTGTTATCATAAAATTGTCTTTTTGATTAAAAAGAAGGGTTTCTTAATAATTTTTTTGTCTTAATGATCCTAAAACTTGTTGATTTGTAAAATATTTTTTAATTATGGCATTGTTGTACATTTATAGGTTGACAAGGAAAATTATCAAAATTAGCTTTGTATTTATTATTTACTGGATTTTGAATAAAATTTTTATGATAATAATTTTTATTTCTGTAATGGGAATTTCCAAAATTATTTCTGGGATAATTATTTGAAAAATGATTTGGTCTTGTAGAAAAACATCACAAATATGTCTTTAACCCACAAATTGAAATTTAATCAAATAAGACGTTTTACCTAAGCAGGGCAGTATTAAGTTTGAAAGATATTTTGCTTTCACTAATATGCACTTTAATTCTACTGCAGCTATTTGAATTCCTTCAACATCTTCATTCATTTTCACTCACTTTTAAACTTCAAATAGAAGTAAATTGTATTAATTTAAACAAATTTATTCAAAAGCGAGTAGCTTTAGAGTTTTAATATAAATTATCTCCAAATAAGATCATAAAATTTAAATATCTAGTTCTTGCTTTTATAAAAAAAAAATGTTCAAGATCATCTAGCATGTTAGGTTAAAAAGTCGATTATATCATCTAATGAATATATTTCAAAGAATTAAAATCGTAAAATATTAATATTAATAAAGATAATAATAATAATTTACATTCTATGATTTTTAGTTTGCATTTTTTTGTTCAAAAATTTAATCAGAAATTCAGGAAGTCAATCAAAGATTTATAATCACAAAAAAAATTATATAATTTATGTAAAAATGTAAATTATACGAACTCATGAATCAGTGATAATATAATGCATTTTTAAAATTCTATAAGAAACGAAATCTGCATATTTTTTTATTTCTTCTTAATATATTTTAATAGCTGTTTTCCACTATGATGAATTTGGATTGTTATATGTATATTTAAATAATATTTAAGTTTATATGTATAGTTAAGTAATTTTTAACTTTTATTTGTCACCTACAAATCTTGCGTTTTCTGCATTTCAAACCTGAAGATGGTCTTACAAGCCAAAACTAGTAGCGACAACAATTTTATAAATAAATATTGTAGTAATGATTTAGAGTTTATTCTTACTTATTACTACAAATTTAATCTTAATTTTGTTAATTTAGGAGGTTTTTCTTTTAATAAAAGCTGTTTAGATTTAGGATAATATTATGTGTATAATTTTGATTAAAATATATTCAAGTTTGACTGTGTATAAATCAATTATTTTTATTCTTTACTATGATTGATTAGTAATAATAAAACTGTTAAAAGGTGTTACTTACTTTTGAATATGTAATTTCTTGTAACCCCTTTGGTGATTCTAATATACCAGCTATTTGAAGAGCTTGCGTTGTAAGGGCAGCGATGAGCAGCATCCATACAACTTTGTCCAAAACGTAAACGAAAACCTGAAAATTAACGCGTTTTATTATTGTGTGAAAACTGAAATAAAGTATATTTTGGGACAGTGGTAACTAAGCTTTTAATCGCATTTTCTTAGTCCTATCTGGATGAGTGTGGATTTAGTGCAGTAGTTGTCAAAGAAGAGGAATAAACCACAAATCACTGAACAATGAGGATGTTGTTCTAAAGTTAATTTTAACTATTTTCGTAATTATACCGTATATCGTGCTATTTTTTTTTTTGTTTTATTTTAGATAAAGGTCCAACTTAGGTGGTTCAGGCATTGATTTTGTTTAAATTAATTGTTTTTAATTAAAAAACGTGTGGCCTATTTTTAGACCTTTTTCATTGTAAGAATAAACTAAAAATTCAATAAATTTTCTGAAAATAAAACCTTGAACCACCTAAGTTAAACATTTTCCTATCAAATCGTTCAAAAACGCCCCTATTTAGGGGTGTTTCAACCATTGCTGCCAGTTTTAGCCCTCATTTTCGTAATCAGCGCCCCAAAATACGCAGGGGACAAGTGGTATCGTCAAGTGCGGCGTTTCTCGACCTTTTACCGTTATTTTAAATGGACTACTACTGGTTAGGCGGTCCCGCAGTATAGAATTCGATCGCAAATCCTTTGGAGACTCTATCCTTAAGAAAATGCTTACTTCAAAATAATAAAACGAAATATATGTCTTCGAAATTAATTCCACTTCAATTTCAATTAACTTACATATCACCTTGATTTGATTCATTTTGTTATAATTACATCAGATTCTAGACAATAGTGGATTTATGTATTATACAGTTGATAATGGAACATTCATTGACCTATTTGTATAATTTCTTGAAAAATACATTATTAATTTTATTAAAACAATTATATCATAATTAGATTGGCATAAAAACCGTTCTTTCATGGTAAACAAATAAATTCGTTCAACCTTTAATTTATGAAAAAATAAATAAAGATATATACTGCTAGTTATTTGCATAATCAGTAGTCTATAGTTTATTTAAAATTTAAAATATTTGAGTACGAATTCTTTCAATTTCTACATATTATATAAATATCTGATTCTCATTATTTATTTCCACGTCTTATTTGAAGTCTGTCGTGCTATTTTTCGACATATAGGTGCAATTATCATTTTTTTTTATTCTATTTATTTTCTTCCATTTTCTTTGTTATTCTAATTAGATTTTCTTTTTTGTGTTCATTTTTTTGCGCCATTTTCATTATTTTGTTTTCTTTGTTTCATGTTCTGTCCCATTATTTCTAATCCTTATTTAATCAAAGAGCTTAAAATTCATGAATTTTTTTTAACAAATGATAGCAACTGATCTCATTTAGAAATAATATTAATTATACATTAAATAACATAACAAGGGCAGTAATTTTTTTAATTAATAATATTCAAGAATGTATTTACGTTAATAAGGAGGATATATTGTCAAATTATTCATTGCAACCTTTACTGGAATAAATATTAAAGATACAGAGACAAAAGGAAATACATTATTTAAGCCTGAAGTAAAAGAAACGTACAGAATATAATTTCTAATACGAACCATAACCTTAATATTATAATAATGGTAAGAAAGTCTGATTTATTATCCTTTCAGATACAGTTTAAAAGGATAAAATAGGTGAAAGTGTTATCGCTAGATCATAAATAATGCATTGCCAAGCGCATACAGTCTGATAGCATAGAAAAGCAATAAAACTAAAACCAAAAAAAAATACAACTTTCACTAAAATAAGTATTTAAACAAATAATACAAGAGTGGTTTGAACATTTTTCTTGAAAAGGAAACAAAGAATAGGAGCAAATGTCAATTTTTTTGATACAGTTATTATTATTATTATTATTATTATTATTATTATTATTATTATTATTATTATTATTATTATTATTATTATTATTATTATTATTATTATTATTATTATTATTATTAATTTTTTTATTTGGTGTCATATGCATCTACTATTAAGGTGATTAGCCTTGTGTTCGGTGCAGGCTTTGTTACTATTTCCCAACGCTATTTTAGGAACAGTATTTAATTTCTTTTATTTATATTTATACTCAGAACAAAAAAGTAAAGTATTTAGGTGCAGTAATGCAACATTGCGTCACTTTTGATAAAAACACTTCTGCGACATATTTTATAAAGGTACAAATATTTTTCCTGCAGGATATTCCAATTGGCAGTCGATTTAATTTCATTAATTTTTCTCTCATGTCGGGATGAAATTAAATTATCACTAACTAGCTCATATGCAGGCGGATCTGAAAATAAATAGCTTCAGAAACAGAACATTTTTTCCTAGGTATTAATTTAGCGAAGATTCGTTCGACAAATTTTAATTGAATAAGGTCGACCCGCTAGATTTGATTGAATTTCATATGCGAGCAACATTCATATTATTCAATTAAAATTTTGTGCCAAGTTAGAACAAACAGCTTTCCGGATTAATATCAGGGTTGTATTCAGGGGTGATTTTCTGTTGCTTCGATAATCTCAAATGTAAAAAAAGAGTTGCTATGGAAAAGAGAAAAAAAATGTATTCAATATAAAGTACTCTTAACATTGATATATAATGAATTAAGGGAGAGACATAAAGACATAAAAAACAAGAAACTAGACTAAATCCAATATTACAGGCGTAAATGCCAAAGTAGGAAAATGTCCAGCTTTTGACCTAAAAATGTAAGTTAAGGACTTTTTTTATATAGAACCTCGCTACAAGGACTCCTCTGGGTTTTAAAAATACATGCTAAGAACCGTTTTTTTTAGAAATTTCAGAAAGAAGAAATGATTTTATAAAAATGGTTGGTTTTTGAATCTGATCCCCCTTTCGCAAATCTGTCAATCCTACTTTAAGATGACTTTGTGCTATTTACTAAGATCTATTCTTTTGTTTTGTAGCCTACAAGCAGTTGCATAAAGACGCAAACAAACGATCAGAGACCAGTCATTGACACCAGGATTCTGTTCTTAGTAAACTATTAGGCATTCCAAACTGAATGGCTACCAGTGGGTTTTGACGGGTTATGATATAGCAAAATTATGGCAACCCTGTAGGCCTGGTGATTTGACAACGTCAATGAAATAGATAGTTACATAGATTGATCATCCATATTTTTCAAAATAAACAAAAGCTTATGCCTTGAAGTAAAAATGTAAGCAATTATTTTTTTTTAATGTCTAAAGGCTAAAAATTAGTTTTAAAACACATTTTTTCTAAACCGATTCAAATTAATAAATATTTGCCAGGTAATATGGCCGCTCGTAAACGACCAGCTTTGAGCAATCTATATAACTATATATGTATCATTGACCCTGTTAATGACAACATGACAACAGGGTTGCCATATCTAAACTGTCATTACCCACTGGTAGCCATTTGGACAGGTCGTTGGAATGCCTAATTGGGACTCCCAAATTATATACTGAAAAATGGGCAGTGATTTATGATTTGTTTTTGATTGTTATTGAAACAGACCTTTAGATTATCTTAATTATATCGAGTGCGTATAAGGAAAATTCACAAAATCAATTTTTTCCAAATTCGGGATAACTAAAACTATAAAGTATTGTTTAATTTTATTTAAAAAATCCACTAAGTCAATTTTATAATGATAAAAAACGCGTTCATTTCCAAATTATGACATGGTACGTATTCCCCCCAAAATTAATTTAATATAAATTGTATCATTTGTAGTTGTTCAGTAGAGTTCGTATAAAGTTTAAGACGTGACAACGTCGCTTTTCATATTTTGTAATTTCTGTACACTTGGTACAAAAGTAGTTATTAATTAAGACTCGGTCGATAAAGATTTGATTATTGAAAACCGGCTATACAATTAATTCGGTATTTTTTGATAGTATGATTAATAGTGCACTTCCCCTTTTCTTTCCTTAAGCCTATCCCAAAGTGCCCATCAATAACTTTGGATACGACCGTCAAGAATATCGGTAAGTAATTTTTATGGATTTATTTAGCCCATAAGGCAATTTTCCGTAACATTTTTGGTCCTTCGAGCCGGATAATAATAATTGTTGATTGTCGTATAATATGGGAATTCGGTTTATTTTTTGAGTGACTGTTAAGTAATAATAAATTAATTGTTAATTTCGGAATTTCGGTTTTTTCGGTAACTCTAGTAGTTTTTTCAGCGGTTTCTTTTCACTATTTAATCGGTAAATAGTTTTGAAGTACAAAGGTCACTTATTCGGTACAAATCGGTAGAAAACAAAAGGTATTTGTATTTGGTATGTTTTTAACGTATTAATAGATATAAATTTCAGTTAATTTAAATAAGTATTAGAAAACGAAATTTCGACTGGTTAAAGATAAACGTTGTTTGTAATTTGAGTTTTTTTTTTTTTAGTTTATGGGTAGAAGTTGGTTTTCAGCTCTTAATCATCAAAATTTGAATGTGGATATGCTTTACCACTTATAAATAGAAAATAAATATTACCTAGTACTTATAAAAGTTTAATTAAGAAATAATTTAACAATAATATTTTGTCGAGTTTTGTAATATTTAAAAATGGCCGGTGCGGATGAAAGAAAACTGAAGGTTTTGACGGCCAAAAAACAGTCTTTATTTGGTTCTTTGCAACGTCTTCATGATTTATCTAAAAAAGTTAACGATGCGACTAATCGAAAAAATTTTAAAATTTTGTATAGGTCTTTAGAAGAAACTCGACAAAAGTTATTAGAAACGGTAGAACAGGAAAATGAACAGAATTTAGTAGTTGATGAAAAGTTTGTTTCAAATTTTTCGATTTATCAAACAATAGATGACTTATATTGTAATATTAAGGAAATTGCAGATAAATTGCCAACTGATACGTCCTCCAGGTCCGGTGCGAGGGAGAGTGATGCAGGTTATAGTTTACCTAGACTTCCAAAGATTGAAATACCCGAATTTTCTGGAGATCTTCGGGACTGGGAAACTTTTTATTCAATTTTTAAAAGTTTAATTCACGATAATAAAGCTTT